CCCTGGACAAAGACCCCTTTAAACGGCTGTCCGAGGCCGTGGGAGGAGGAGGCCGTGGGCGCTCAGGTGCTCAGAGCCTGGGCTGCTCCCCCCCCATCTCCATTATGAACACACCGCTGTGGTGGGTGTTCGGAGCCCCAAGCCACCCCATCCCATGGCTGCCGTCGGGGGCCCTGGCGTTTGAAGGCGTTTGCCCCTAGAGGGTTATGTGTGTGTGTGTGGCCGTCGTGGGGTGGGAGGGGGGCAGCTCCCAATGGGGAAAGGGGGTGAAATGAAGCTAAACCATAGAGCTCGGTGTCATCTGGTATCTCATTTACTCTGTCGTTAGTAAATGCAGAATCATGAAGGTCTTGCCAGGCTTCTAGCGTGTGTGTGTGTCCATGTGTCCATGCATCCTTGTCCCTCTGCAGGGTCGGGCAAGGCAGTTCAGGCCCGTGTTTGAGGCGCAGGGGTCCTGCCCTCTGGCCCAGGGGGCCCCGGCCGTGGTTCCTGCTTCTGTCCCTGCCGTGCTCCTCTCTGCCTCCTCCCGCCAAGCCCCCGCCTCTCAGTGCCCTGGCTCGGCCGTGATCCTGGGGCGGGTCCTCCTGCCTTTAACCCCACCTGAGCGTGGCCCCTGGGGGCCGCTGAGCTGTGAGCGGAGGAGCAGAGGGGCGTGCAGCGGGCAGCCCGGGGCCTCGGTGCCACCGTAGACGCTCACCAGCACAGGCAAACACGACAGCCCGTCCCTGGCGAGGGAAGGGCACGCGGTGACAGTGGGGGAAGCTCCCGCAGGGCGTCCTGAGCCCCCTGTGGCACGTGCTCCTGCCACCAGCATCGCCTCTTAGACCCCGAATGAGATGCGGCTGTTTCGTGACTCGCAGACTCACAGACGGTTGTGTCAAGAGTGTCCTTTCCCTCATAAGCTCCCAGCCCCACCTTTTGTGGGGATTGTTCTCCCGAGTCCCTTTTGGTCTTACTTTAATCTGATGCTGCCTGTAGAGAAATGTTGCTAGGGGCGCCCAGCCCGGAGTGACTGGCCGCTCCCCAGGGCCCCCGCGAGAATGACGGTCCTGCGTGGTTTCACACACACATGCATGTACACACATACACAAACACGTGTACACCCCCAATACACATCCACACCACACACAGATACACATCCACACCACATGCACTCACACACACGTACACACACATGCACTCACACACACATGTACACACACATATGTACACACACCCATATACATCCCTCCAATACACATCCACATCTACACCACACACATAGATACCTACATACCACACACACATACACACACGTACGTATATGCACAAATACACCCCACAAATACACATCCACACCCCACACATACACATACCACATACACATACACACGCATACTCATAACACACACACCACACACACACCACACACACACCACACACACTGACACACATATACATGAATACCATACACACATGAGCACACATCCACATCCACACATGCACACCCACCGCACGCACATCCCAGGGGCAAGAGGGGTGCAAACCAGGAATCTGTCTGTCTCGGGGGTGGTTCGAGAGCCATGAGGAGGAACGGGCAGATGCAGTCTTGCGGGAGCTGGCGGCTGATGCAAGAACGAGCTTTCTAAGAATGAAAACTTCCAATAAGGGAGAGAAGAGCAGGTGTCGCCAGCCAGGGCACTGCCTAGACTGTCACGCCTCTGTCCTGCTCATTAGCCTCGGCTGCTACCAGTTCTACAAGCGTGTGTGTGCGTGGGTGTGTGTCATGTGTCTGCATGGAGGATGCATGCGTGTGACTGATGGGTGGTGGTGGCAGCCCAGGGCCACCTCTGTCCTCTGCTGTCCAGTTCCAGCGTGACAGGGCATTACACAGACACACCCTTCCCACCCTCGGTGGCTTTGCTCCTCCTGGGTAGGGACGAGGGCCGAGTCCCCCCACCTCTTGGAGACTCACCAACCCCTTGCTTGGCAGTGCCAGGACCTGATGCTTCTGTGGCACCTGTAGGCCCCGCCAGGCCTGGGCACTTGCTTCTTAGCGCAGCAGGAGATGGGGTGGCCCCAGGACCAGGGCGTGTCCTGTTCTCCCACCTCCTGCCTGAAGTTTGGTACTCACAGCTGGATCCCCTCCTGGCCCAGTGGTGTCTGTCTCGGCCCAGTGTTAATAGGAGCTGCTCAAGCCCACCAGCGCCTGTCACTCAGCCCCTGTGGGCTGCACCCCTCCCCCGCCCTGAGCACCATGGCCAGGTTTTTTGGTGATGCATAATAGCAGCTTTGCACGGGTTTAGAACAGGGCTCAGCAAACTGGCCCCTGGGCCAAATCTGGCCCCTGTCTATTTTTGTAAATAATTATTATTTATATATTTATTTATATATAAATTATTATTTATATATGTTTATATATAATTATTATTTATATAATTTATTCAAACATACCCGTGCCCATTCATTCACGTACATTCTGGAAAATCATAATCAGTTACTATCTGGCCATTTACGGCACAAGTTTGCTGACCACTGCTTTACAAGGGACCTTGAACTTGATCTGCTCTAGCTGAGACTTCCGAACACTTGGGTCTTGGCCCAAAGATAGCATCCGTCTGCAGGGCCAGACATGGTGACCAGGAGCACAAAGATCTTTGTTCAGTGAAGGGAGCACAGTCTACGAAACAGAAGCAAACAGAAACAGTCGCGCCAGACCCTCTCTGGAATGTTGTCTCCTCTGAGTGTCAAGGAAACCTGTGACGCACAGGTGGCCCCTATCTAACAGATGGGCAGCCAGATGCTCAGGAGAGCTAAGGGTGCCTGTTTTAGTGGCCCAAGCCACTGTTGCAGGGTGTGAACTTGGGAGCCCCAGGAAGAGGGCTGGGGGTGCCCCCAGGATGCAGCCCCAATGCAGGGGGCATGGGGAGCGCCTGGGGGACCTGCAGGAAGGGCGGATCTGTGCAGCCACGTTTTAAAATAGACAGGAGGAGGAAGGAAGCTGGATAGCTTCGGTGTCCTCGCTCAGCAAGGAGGTGGCGAGGTGTGGACAACAGGAGGCTGAGGAGAAGGAAGTGTCATCTTTAACCATAGCCCGGACACAGGGTGGATGGCAGATGAGTCAGAGTGGCCCTGGGGTCACCACAGTGGTTGGCCACCAAGGAGGTGACTCAGATGGCAGGAGGGCCCAGAAGTGGCCAGGTGGGTGGCCCACACCCCCTGCTATGCCCTGGGGTGCCCTTGTGAGAGAGTCACCCTATGATGCTGTAGGCGCCTTTACCTGCCCGCCCTGCCCTGTCCCCGGTCTGTCCCCAGCCTTCTTCCTCCCAGGCCCACCCTCCCACACTGGGCGTTGGCCACGTGGGCTATGCAGGAGGGGCCTCCTCTCTGACACTTCCCCACACGGGAGGCCAAGAAGGGAAGACACAACACACAGGTTGGTGTTGGTGCCTTTGCTGGGCCATTTGTGAGCTGACAGACAGTGGACACACCACATTGAGGCGATGCCATCTTTTCTGGTGGCTCTTTCTGGGGCTGGACTGACCTCACTGCTGTGGGGTTCCTCCTGACATCTCTCTTCAGTGGAGCCAACACGCGGGGCACTGTCCAGTGCAGGGGTTGGTAGACTATGGCTGGCCTGTTCTTATAAATAAAGCTTTATTGGGACATGGCCATGCTCATGTATTTATGTATCTCTGTGGCTGCTTTTGTGGTACAACAGCAGAGCTGAAGAGTTGCACAGAGACCCTCTGGCCCTCAAAGCCCAAGATATTTGCTATCTAGCCCTTTCCAGAAAAGGTATCTCCAGTATCTCCTCTCCCCTCCCCCAGCCTCCTCCCTCTCCCCAGCTGTTCCCCTGCATGGAAAGAGGGTGGATCTTCCATGACAGATGACATCCTGGGAGCAATGTCCTTCCTGCGGTGACGATAGAGCTGGCAGAGGGGCTACAGGAAGCGGGAGGCAGTAAAATGAGCTCTCTTAGAAAGTTAGTTCCCTGCTCGCCCTCCCAGGGAGCTGACCCCTGTCCCCACAGGGTCCTGCAAAATCGAGGGCAAGGACAGGTCCCCGGGCACCAAGCCAGAGGGGAGGCTCAGGCAGGGCTGGGAGCAGGTGTGTCTGTGGCCTGCTACACGCACCCTGACTTTGGGGGCCACCTCGGACCCGCCTTCCTGCAGCTCAGAGAGATGCCGGAGTGGAAGTGGGGGAATGGGGGCTCAGGGAAGGCTGCGGCTGTGCCACAATGGACCCCGGCTCTCTCCACCCTCCCGTGGTCAGCCACGGTGACCCCTCAGCAGGGCTATAGAGGGAGTCCTGGAGGTTTTGGTAGCTACCGGGAGAGGGGATGGGACTGAAAACTTGAGATTAGAATTTTCCTAGGAGATCCAGGACATGTGGTGACAGTATCCACAGAAATTTCCAGAACCAGGGCAGTCCCCCTCCCACCCCGGCTGCAGAGGGACACCTCAGCTCTGTACTGGCTTTGCATACACTGGACACAAGGAGTCCTAGCCTGTCTCTGAAGAGAGGACAGGGCCTCCAAGACGAGGGGAGCCCTGTCTCACACCAGAAAGGGAGGAGCTGGGATTTGTGTCTTTATCAACCTCTGCTGCTACTTGGGGCTCCACTCCCCTCTGAACAGCGAGGCACGAGCACTCCGCCTCCCTCTGTTTGGCCACGAAAATGCCCACTGCGTCTCTGCTGATTCCAGATTTGGTGGCACCATGGCCTTCCGCCCTGTGAAACCCCCATGAGGTATTTGGTGCCTGCCTCAGACGGCCAGCAACACAGCAGAGAGTGACACCTGGCCCCCAAGCCCACCCCGCCACGCAGACCACTGGGTGTCCCTGTGACAACGGAGCCAAGAGGACAGGGACGTAGCTCCCGCCTGCCCGGATCCGGCGTGCCAGGAGCTCGGCGCGGGCCGTGGGGCGTGTGGTGTGGCCAGCCTTGCCCTCCCTGTTACCCTCCCCGCTCCGTCCCGCAGCCCGCTCACAGCCTCTGTTTTTCTTTCCGCCCGTCAGGTAACCCTGAACGCCCCACGACTCGAGAGGTCTCCTAGCAACCCTCCTTAGGAATTTCGCCCGCCCCGGCTAGAAAACTGGAGACCACGACGCGGCCCCGAGATTGATGATTTTGCCTGGGGGGCTGGCGAGAAGCTGAGTCCGAGGCGACCATGGGTCAGAAGGTCACCGGAGGGATCAAGACCGTGGACATGAGGGACCCCGCGTACCGGCCGCTGAAGCAGGAGCTGCAGGGGCTGGACTACTGCAAGCCCACGCGGCTGGACCTGCTGCTGGACATGCCCCCCGTGCCCTACGACGTGCAGCTGCTGCACTCCTGGAACAACGACGACCGCTCGCTCAACGTCTTCGTCAAGGAGGACGACAAGCTCATCTTTCACCGGCACCCCGTGGCCCAGAGCACGGACGCCATCAGGGGCAAGGTCGGGTACACGCGAGGGCTGCACGTGTGGCAGATCACGTGGGCCATGAGGCAGCGGGGCACGCACGCTGTGGTGGGAGTGGCGACGGCGGATGCCCCCCTGCACTCTGTGGGGTACACGACCCTCGTGGGGAACAACCACGAGTCCTGGGGCTGGGACTTGGGGCGCAACCGGCTCTACCACGACGGCAAGAACCAGCCGAGCAAAACGTACCCGGCCTTTCTGGAGCCGGACGAGACGTTCATCGTCCCCGACTCCTTCCTGGTGGCCCTGGACATGGACGACGGGACCCTGAGCTTCATTGTGGATGGACAGTACATGGGAGTGGCTTTTCGGGGACTCAAGGGCAAAAAACTGTACCCCGTAGTGAGTGCCGTCTGGGGCCACTGTGAGATCCGCATGCGCTACTTGAACGGACTCGATCGTAAGTGTCCCCTGGGCTCTCTGAGGTGGTGCCCTCCCCACGCTCCCATGGCCCCGGGTGGGCCCGGGCCGGAGGTTTACACGGTTGTTGGAATTAAAGTGTCTTTAAGTAGATATCCTAGTGTATTCAGACCCTCAGAGGCAGGTTTGCCTACATCTAGATAAATGAGGGATTCTAGCCAGAGTCTGCCAGATTACCTGGCAGTGCCTCATGAGTGGACAGATGGTGGAGGAGGAATGAACAGGTGGATGGATGAGTGTTTGGAGGGATGCATGGATGGATGAGTGGATAGATAGATGGATGAGTGGATGGATGGATGGATGAGTGGATAGATGGATAAATAAATGAATGAATGGATGGATGGATGAGTGGATAGATAGATGGATGAGTGGATAGATGGATGGATGAGTGGATAGATGGATGAATAAATGAATGAATGGATGGATGGATGAGTGGATGAAAAGATGAATGAATGGATAGATGGTCTTTGTCTCAGGCTAACCTGCCTCCAGGTGTGATCTGCAGTGCTAGCCCGGAGCCAGCCTGTCATTGAGCTGGGGGTTGCAGCCTTGGGGATAGCAGGGCCTCTCAGATAAGTGAAAGCCAGTGACCTCTCACTCTTCAGACAGGCTTAGGGTCTTTCTGTCCTGCTGCCAGAGGCTTCTGAGTGGGCTCCCGTGAGACCTTGTCTGGAAGGGGGCTGTCGCGTCACGTTGCCAGGAGACTGGGAGGAGCGCTGGATTAGAAACAGGCTGAGTCAGCAGCTATTTCCGCCTATCCCTTCGGAAAGGGGAGTGGCCTTTCTCAGGCCATGTGCGGTGGCACTGTGCTGGGGGGAGGCTGGGAGCCTGGGTTAGCAGGAGGTCCTGGCACAGCAGCACTGTCCATCCTCATGCTCGGCCTCCCTCCTCCTCTACCTCTTCCCCTCCCCCTCCTCCTCTCCTCCTCCCCCTCTTCCAACTCATCTTCCTCCCCACTGCAGCCTTGGAAAGGTACTGGAGAAAACATTGGAGGGGTTGGGCATGAGCATTTCTCTTTGGAAGCCTCCATGCCCCTCCCTCTCCCTGCCCCCTGCTCTGGCTTTGACTGGGTAGTGGCAGGGAGCTGGCAGCCACACAGGGCGTCTGGTGCAGGCTCCCAGCGCTACTCAATCCTCACCTGCACAACCTAGCACCCCGAGGCCATGGTGCTCCTGGCAGGGCTGCCCAGGGTGCATCCAGCAGGCAACCTCCCTAAGGAAGTGACTTCAGCCCTGGCTAGGGAACCTGCAGAGCGAGTTCTGTGAGTCCCTCTTCCCAGGTGATAGCTGTGAGTGGCACTAAATCCACATCGAATTTGCCTCCAGCAGGGTTGGGTGGGGATGGGGAGCCCTGGGCCCCGGCCCCCCAGGACCTAGGATCTTGGGGAGCCCTGGCCCTCAGCCCTGCCTCCCTCCTGGCAGAGGGTGGTCATGGATCCAGGGCGGTCACCGTCTGTTCTGTGCAGACACACGCAGGGATTGCTGAGCCTGCTGTTGTTGCCTGGCCACCAAGACTGGTGTCTACCACGAGAGTGTCCAGCCCGGTCCCCTCCGGAAACAGGCCGGCTGACACTCCCGTGAGTGCTGTGAGTCCGCGTGGCTTCGCTGTTAGTGTGTCCCAGCTCCAGTACAGAACGCAGACCCCAGAGCGGCCGGGGAGCACTGGAGCCTGCTGGCCCCGGCATGTTGGGGCACAGCCCGCACGGAGGTTCTGCCAGATCCATCCGAGAGGCCCAGACACGTGTCTTGTGAGTAGATGATGCCCTGCTCAGCTCTGCAGCAGACGAGATGCCGGATGCTTGCGTAGTTGTAATCATTTGGAAATCTGTACAGGCGTTGTGTGGTGGAGGTCATGAGAATGGAGATAAGTTGTTAGAAACTGAATCTGCATCGGAATCTGGCTGGAGCCTCCGTCAGCTCATGGCACTCTTGGTCAATAACGAGGGCCTCCCCTGACCCGATCCGCCCTGCCAGGCCATGTGCGGGCCCTGGTGTCTTGGCCTCCCTGGTTGGTAGATGTGGTGGGCCCTGCTGCACGTGGCCAGTTGACTTTGGAGGATCCCAATTGGAAAATACGTAGATGTGGTCAGTTCCTTGGCCAGTTCTTGCCGAGCAGAACACGTGGGGGTGATGCATTTTCCTGAGCCCGCTGCAGGGTGCCGTGTGTCAGCCGCCAGCCTCAGCCTGCTTAGACGGACGCCTCGGGGCCTTCATTGAGGGATGTCTTGGGTCCTAGAAGGACCACGCTGGCTGCTCCACAGAAACGGACAGACGGGAGGGAAAAGAGTGGCCGCTAGGAGGCCGGGAGGAGCCATGGCAGGTGTCCAGGTGGTAGGTGGCGTGGGTTCAGGCCAGGGAGGACGCCTTGAGGTGGGGAGAGGTGGCCGGGTCCTGAGGCTCTCTGGAAGGGCACATCAGCGGATTGAAGAGGATTGGAGAGGGAAGCGTCCAGGTGAGCCCAGGAGATTCCAGGTGCTCAACCTGAGCAGGTGGAAGGACGGGGCCGCTGCCCACCATGATGGGGGAAGCGCGAGGGAGGAGCAGGTTGAAGGGTGGAGGTTAAATTTGAGATGCTTTCTCGACACATCCAGGGGGGCCTGCAGGCCCAGAGTCCAGGACAGTGGTCAGTGGTCAATGGTCCACATGCAGACAGCTTTAGAACCGTGACCTGGATGAGGCCACCGAGAGAGTGAGGGGCAGAGAGCAGGGGGAGGAGGCCTGAGGCTGAGCCTGTCTCGAGGTCAGGAGGCCAAGGAGGAGGCAGAGGGGCTTGGCCGTGCAGCGGGGGTCCCAGGTGGGGGGACCCGGGAGATTGGTATCCTGGGTGCTGGGGGAAGAAGGAACTTCAAGGAGGGCAGAGAGGTGCCAGTCAGTTATGTCGGCAGCTGAGAATTCCCCTTCGGCTTTTGCAACAAGGAGGTCACTAGTGACCGTGACAGGAGTGGTCTGGGTGGGCCGGTGCTGGAGGGGCTGCTTTATGAGAGGAAGGGGGAGGCTGGTGCATTCGTTTCCCGGGGCTGCTGCAACAAATTGCCACCAACGGGGTGGCTTAAAATTCCAGGCGTGTGTTCTCTGCAGTCCAGGAGGCCACCTTCCAAAACCAAGGTGTCAGCAGCCTCCAATCCCACCTCTGCCCGGGCCGCTGGGGAGGCCTCTGCAGTCTCTGCCGCTGTCGGCTCGTGGCATCTCCTGCGTATGTCTCTCTGCACCCTCCCCTCTGCCTAGAGGGACACAGCCATTGGATTTAGGGACCTCATCAGAGCTAAGCAGACCTGCAAAGACTCTGTTTCTAAATCAGGCAGCCCTCTGAGGCTGAGGGTGAACAGGAATGAAGGACACACCCAACCCACTACAGATGTGCAGGCAGCAAGTATAGACCATGCTCACGAGGCCATCTGCTCCCCACACTACTGCCTGGGGGAAGGGACGGACGAGCCCAGAGCTCCCACCCTCCCCTCACCCCCACAGATGGTGGGCTGCTCATCAGGTTAGGTCAAAGGCCACCTTCCGGGCTCCATGCAGGGTGCAGGGCATGGCAGGTGGAAGCTCTGGCCAGGTCTGGTTAGACCTGTCTTTTTTTTTTTTTTTCAGACAGGATCTCACTTTGTTGCCCAGGCTAGAGTGAGTGCTGTGGTGTCAGCCGAGCTCACAGCAACCTCAAACTCCTGGGCTTAAGCAATCCTGCTGCCTCAGCCTCCAGAGTAGCTGGACTACAGGCATACGCCACCATGCCCAGCTAATTTTTTCTCTCTATATTAGTTGGCCAATTAATTTCTTTCTATTTATAATAGAGACAGGGTCTCGCTCTTGCTCAGTCTGGTTTCGAACTTCTGACCTCAAGCAATCCTCCTGCCTCGGCCTCCCAGAGTGCTAGGGTTACAGGTGTGAGCCACCGTGCCTGGCTAACCCGTCTTTTTGGTGTCGGGCCTGTGTCAGGGTTTTGCTGTCACCATCCGGGAAGTGGTTCTGCTTCCTGGGACATCTGGGAAGTCATTGGTGCCCCCCACCCCACACCAGGGTCCGACCTCAGCAGGGAGCAGCTATCTGTAGAGAGGGTCAGCCCAAGTCACCTGGCATGTGTGCCCCTCCTGGGATCTCCAGAGATCCCATGCCATCCCTGCACCCGCTATCCTGCATGCCAGAGTCCCTGCTGCCATGCTGGGGCCAAGCAAAGGCAGGGAGTCCTCGGTGTATCCCTGTGTGACCTCCCCGATGTCCAGCTAGCTCTGACCACGGCCCATTTGCTCTGGTTCCTCCTCGAGTCCCTGGTGCTGGGGCTGCAACCAGGGGTGCTGTGGCTGTAACAAGGGGTGCTGGGGCTGCAACCAGGGGTGCTGTGGCTGTAACCAGGGGTGTTGGGGCTGCAACCAGAGGTGCTGGGGCTGCAACCAGGGGTGCCACTGTGTCACCTGCTGTCTTTCCTGGGGGCAGGGGTGGAGATGGCCGTTGCTGAGTGGGGAGAGGGCCACGTGTGGCCCCTGCCCACTGTCCTTTCTGGAGATGCAGAAGGAAAAGGCCATTTGCAAGTGGCAGGCTGGTGTCACTCCAGGGTGACCTCTGACCTTGTGAGTTCTCCCACCCCACCCCCCTGCTTTTAAAAGAGTCTCCCGCTAAGGAAGCATCTGCCCTGCTGCATTTGGAAACTCTTTCTTCTTCCACACTCCCAGATGAGCTGGGTGTGGTTTGTTGGGGTCGAGGGTTCAGGGAGGGCTCAGCTCTGTCCCTCAGGAGACACGTTTAGTGGCCTCCTCCCAGGTGCCTCACCTGACGGTAGCTCCTTCCTGCACCCCATTCCAGCTGGGCTCTTGGGAGAGGCCCTCGTCGGGGAGACTGATCACCCCACCCTGCCAGGGGCTTCCTTCTGCAGTGACAGGCCATGGGGGGAGGGGTCATTCTAGACCTTTCCCCCAGAAAGGCTGGCCTTGTGGGGACAGCAGGTTCTCAAAGTGGAAGGGACAGGGCATGACAGGTGCCTGCATCA